GGGTCATATGTCACTTGGAAGACCTGGTAATTGCTAAAGGTGTAGCCAGGACCTCAAAGTTCATAATACATGCCCCTTTGCACATGGTCCTCCCTGTTCACCTAAACCTTACAAATTCAGGGCCCCAGAGGGTGGGGCCCTTCGGTTAAAAGCAGTGTTTCAGCTTTCTGGGTAAGACCCTTTGATCTCACTGTAAAACCATACACCTGCGTAGAAACCTTTCCAAGCTCAAGATTTTGGGATCCAGCAGGATAAGCTGTCCCTATCCATGCACCCACCCTCCCACCCACCCATGTATCCACCCATGCCACAAATACTTAAGAGCATGGGCTTTGTGCCAAGCACCACACTAGCTGCTGGGGGCAGTGTGTGTTATGTGATGACCCACATGGGCACAGTGTCTGCCCTTGTTGGGCCTCTATCCATAGGGACGCCACAAGTGTGATGAGCATCATAGCAGAGAATTTCAAATTTGCTGGGCCCTCTGGAAGGACAAAAAGTCACTGTCTGGAAACCAAGGTGGGGACTAGGGATTATTGGCAGTAATGTTTTAGCTGAGTCCTAAAGGAGGGGGAGCTAACCCAGAGAAGAGAGTTCTCAGTAGAGGGAACAGCATTACTGAAACATGGAACAGAAGAAGGGAGAGAGAGAGGAGTCCTAAAAATGAACTTGTTATAGTGCTAAGAGAAAGCAAATGCTTACTTTCAGGATTTCTGTAAAAGCCTTTGCCCCTGGCTTCCCTTGGCAGAGAGCTGGCTTATAGAAATGTGTCCTCGCTGTGGTTTGTTTTTCTAAGGTCTCAACCTCCCTGCCCTCCCCAGATTCCCAAAAGAGTTTGGGCCCTGGGGTCACACAGACCTTGGCCCAGTCCTGGCCATTATCTTGGGGAAATCACTTCAATCTCTGGAGCTGAGTTTGTAAAGAGGGACTAATAGTAATTCCTACTTCATAGGGGTGTTTCCAGGACGCAATTGTGCTCTCGCATTTTAAGGTGTTAACAGATAAAAACTGTAGCTCTGCCAGGTTGGCTGGGATGCAGTAAGTGCTGATGGGAGATTACAGCCCAGGTAGGCTATTACATTCTTCCAAGCACCCGTGTGCCTTCCTAAGATTATTATGGTAAATTTTATTTTTTAAAACTGCTTGTACTACATACTGCCATTGCTGCTATGATCCACTCTGCTTTAGTCTGCTGTCCTTCACTGAAGGGGATTAGAATGTGGCAAGGACAGGAAGCCAAAACAGTCCTTGGTGATTCTTCACTTCATTCTGCCTGATATTCAGCTTGGCCCCAGGAGAGACCCCGCCTGGCCTGGCCCATCCTGACTCTGTGAGTTGCTCCAATGCCAACAGCAATCTCCAAAAATCAGATATAAGAAGAAAATTTTGGAACTTTAACTTTATTTATTTTTAATCTTTTTTAAAAGGGAGGAAAAAAAGTCAAGCATTACTAATACTTACAACATAGCTCCAAACTACGCATTCCAGAATTAAAAGTTCACAGGCTTACCTGTGACTCATAAAAGAACAGATTTCCATGCCTAAGATTCTCGGGAAATGGCAAATTAAAAGAAAACACATGTATTAACCTTCTTTTCTTTTGATTTCAAGGAGGGGAGACCTATTTCCAGACTTGGTCAGTGAGCTGGAATGTAGACACTAACTTGACTATGCAGATCCTTGGATGAATATAAATACAAAAAGATGGAAATTTTTTAAAAGTATAGACTGACAATGTCATAGATAAATTATTCATAAGTCAAATATACATTGGGCATGAGTGCTCACAGAACATTTAACTATCGGGGCCCCATGATCAGGGGAGTGCGGAGCTGCCATCCTGTGCATTTGTGGTCCGATGTGGTGTTATGCTGGCCTCATGCACAGGGCACTGAGATTCTTGTCTTGGGTGCCCAAGAGAGCATCTGCTCACCCAGATAGGAGAGAAACAGAATAGAAGGCATAACCTCTATCTGAATTTCCAGGGCCAGGTGTGTATCTCATGCATTCAGGCAGTCTTGAAAATAACTAGACACATAGATATTGCTGTGGAAATGGGAAAGACCCGCTCCCAGTCAGAAGTGCCAATGCTCACTCCTGCTAAATTCTCCTCACCTGCAGGATACCCCCTCCCCAACCCTACCAAGGGACAGTAGGAGAGAGTGGTTACGTGAAGTTGCTGGGGGAGACAGGTGAGTGCAGACATAGCGTGTGAAGTTCATGACTGAGGATCCCACAGGTCATCAACACTGACCCTGCAGCCACAGTGTGCAGCCAAGTCCTTGCGAGTAGCAGCCCGTGTCTGAGGTGCTAGGCGCAGGGCGCCCCATCTGTGAAGTCAGGTAAGAGAATGACCCGGAGTCTGATTCAAGCCCAGTTCAGCTTCTCGTGAACTTCGTGAACTTAAGCAAGTCACGAATGTCTCTGAGTCCCAACTTCCTCACTCCCACATGTTCACAATAATGCCTTTTCTACGGCTGGATGATCCCAGTAGGATAATCACAATCTAGGAACACAATTGGAAAAGGTACTCAAAAGCCACTAAGACACCAAAGCAGTACTTTACAGTTATGACCCATAATTCCCCACACAATTAGCAACAAGGATAAGAATCTGGGGCAAAGTATTTTTTGCTTTCCATATACACCCCACGCCTGGTGGCTCCACAAAGGCTGCAGTGGTGCAAGGCCTGGTCTCCCCATGCTGGCTTACCTGTTCTAGGGGAGTCAGACAGAGATATAATGAGACCATGGAGCTCTGGGCTGCAAGGGACCTGGAGAGAGTGAAGACTCAGACTGCTCCTGAGCTGGCCCGCTCCTGCCAGCCCTACTTCTGCCCGCTGCCTTATCAATCCATCATCCTCTTAGCTGCTGACACCTCTGGCAGTACCTCCTGGCAGTCTGGGCATTAGAATTGCAAGAAGCCCAGCTGCACCGGGGAATACAGATGGAGGAATCTCAGATTCAAATTTGTGTAAGTATTGTGAACAGCCAGACCTGGCCAAGGCATCTCCACTACCCTCCCGCCAAAGGGGAGTGGAGGGGGTTTTGTTAGAAGTACAAATTGCTTCTTAATGCAAAGGATAAAGCTGGGCTTGGGCACCTCCTTAGAAATTCCTCCTGTTCCCAGGAAAGCTACCGCTGCATGTCAATTTTAATTTCTGAAATTTAAACCAAGAGCTTTGTGTCTAAGCTCCATCTCATCGGAGGAAGGGGAGGAATAAGTCAAAAAGGATTAGGGGCCCGCTGGGGATTGCTGATCCATAGCAATTAGACTTCATTTGGGTCTCAGACATTTGGTTTTAATCGCATTTCTGGATGATACAATCAACAAGGCATCAGAAATTGATGCGAATGCAACTGTAGTGATTCTGCCTCAGTTCCTGGGCGCAGGTGGACGCAGCTCGGTTTGGATTTCACAATCAGTAGGGTAGAGTAGGGTGGGGAATTGGGGTTCTCTTGAGCTGGGGGGTGGTAATGTGCAAAAGTGTGTGTGTGTGTGTGTGTGTGTGTGTGTGTGTGTTGTGTATGTGTCTGTGTGTGTGTATTTTCCTGCCTCTTTTTGAATACTTTATCCCTGGACTCAAAGCAGACCTAATCATTGCTCGTGTACAAGCAAGCAACAAACATTCAAATAAAACAAGAGCATGAAGAGAAACAGGACTTGAGGCAGCAGGTATGATTGTCTCTTAAGTGGGACTCACAGCTTTCAGCATCTTCCAGGAATTAAAGTCCTGCACCATTCAATGTAGGGGCAGATATGCAGCCAAGAACACAGCACAATGACATGGACCTATGAACACGCATGTGTGCGTATATGCATAACAAGGATTCTGTGTTGGAGGTATGTGTGTGTGTGTGTGTGTGTGTCTGTGTGTGTGTGAATACAGCTTTGCACAGATACACATTCCAGGGTTATCTCTGTGTACTCACACACATTTCTTTTCAAACACCTAGTAAAAATAAGCTCAGTACTGCGCCAGTTACTAACAGGCGTGTGTGTGTGTGTGTGTGTGTGTGTGTGTGTGTGTGTGTGTGTTTGGTACTGCAGCTTGAATCCAGGGCCTTCCCACTGAGGTATATCCTGAGCTTCTTTTTATTTTTATTTTTGTTTCAAGACAGTGTCTAGTGGTGGTGCATGTCTGTATATAATTCCAGCACTCCGAAAGGCTGAGGTAGGATGGCAAATTGGAGCCCGGCCTAAATGACTTAATTAGTGGCTACTTTGTACATAATTTACTGTTTGTTCAAACTCAGTGATTAACAACAAAAACAGAAAAGAAAAAAAGGAAAACTATTGAAGCTATGTGAGGCCTCCTAACTTGCATGTGTAGGATGCCGAAGGGAGTGGACAGAACAAACAGGGACCCCGACTCCACCCTGCAATGAGAAGGGAGGACCCAGGACTGTTCCTCTCCAAGGGACGGTGCCTGTCTCACCACAATGTCCTGCGTGAATTCAGCAACCTGGATCAGTTACAGAATTGCCTCAGTTTACCAGCTCTTCTAGGAGCTGTGGGCCTAGCTGGGATGCATGTACACGGGCCTGTGCTAAAGATGGGACACTTCAGGGTGGGAGGTCTGCTGGGGGCTTTGCGTGTCCCTCTCAGAGTCTAAGAGTGCTCAGCTCCCCAGCGACAAGTGCTTCTCCTGGCCCATTATGCCGAGGCTCCCCTCTTCCTTACCTTTCCTAGAGGCCCCTCCCAACTCCAGGAGGACAAAGTCCACAAACTGCCAGAGGGAAGACCTAACACTCCTCTCCTGCCCGCCCCCCTCTCAGCCTCTCCAGTTCAAGGCTGCAGTGCAGCAGTGGACCTTAGGGAAAGGGTGATAAGCACACTCCCTGTCCCCCACATTTTTTCACCCATCCCAGGTCGTAGGAACATGGCAGGCCAGAGATCAGGGCACACAGATGGGACTCCTGGGACCCAGTTTAATACCATGGTGGATGTCTGAACTTTCAAGTTAGGGGCCACGCTGATAAAGACGAAGGAGCCCATAGTCTAAAAACATAATTTAATGCATCGCAGTAGGTCTGAGTCAGGAGGAAATGCAGTGTGGAAAGGTGAATTTTCCCTTTGCTGGAATTCTGCTGTGGGTGGGATTTTTGGCTGTTGGACAAGAAAATCCGCACAAGTATTTAGGGTCACAAAGAAGGGTGTGCCAGGGAGCTGGAGCCTGGTGTCCTTGGTCTGGGGTACTGGGGAGGAAGAGGAGGAGGAGCAGGAGCAGGAGCAGGAGGAGGAGTGGAGGAGGGGAAAGCAGAAAGGCGGGAGGTCAGGAAGAGAGCAGCCTCCTGCATAGCCTGTCCAGTCCATTCAGGTTTGCAGTCTGCCCACCATGGCTGCCCTGAGGGCTGAGGTTCACGCTCAGCTCACCACTTGGGCATCCCGCTCCCTCCCCGGGCCTGGCACTGGGATGAGGCAGCTTGGTTAGATGCAAACACACTGAGGCCAGGGGCGGGGCATGGAGAACAGCAGGGATGTGTCTTTTCCAACAGAGAAGTCAGGGAGTATCAAGAAGTACAGAGTGGCCTCCCCAAAGAGCCCTGCCCCAGAGGGAATAGAACAGCCTGAAACCATCCCCACCTCGTGTCCTCTGCGCCCCTAATCCGGGTACAGAAGAAAGCCAGAGAACGTGCTGTACTTGTTGTTATTGCCTCCGTGCGCCTTCCCACCGTCCAGCTTCACGTACACCTCGTCCCCAGAATCCAGGTGCAGCACCACGCTGTTACTCGCGTAGTCGTAGTTCTGGTCTGCGTCCTGCGCGATAGCGCTGGCGCGTACCTGGGTGGGGACGAACAGTCGGAGCAGCGGGTGAGCCCAGCCGCCTTTTCTTGACCCCTTGCGGCTCCCACCAGGGCGCGCCCCCTGGCCAGCCTTCCGCCAGCGACTTCAAGGGGCGACGCTCCCACCCAGCTCCGCGTCCTCGCAAACTTGGCCAACTCCTTCCTGGTAGTCTCCCCTCCGCACTGGGCGAGTCCGGGATGGAAGGTGAGAGGGAGGTTCGTGGACATCGGCCCAGTGTGGAAGAGTGGGAACCAGGGACAGGGGGGAGAGTTAAGAAGGCTGGGGGGCAAAGGCCACCGATATGCAACTGGAGACCTAAAGGGAAAAGGTTTTCGAGGAGCCCACGGGGCCGGAAGAGGATGCTGGCAGCCTCGGAGCTGTTTGGGGAGCAGGGTCTCTGGCACTCGAGGCCCAAGCTCTCGCGCTAGGCCTGGGTAGGAGAGTCCGGGAGCGGGATGCTTTGGCACAGCCACGCACTTCTCCCGGCTCTGCTAAGGTGCTCGCCGGTGGGGAGAAAAGGGCTGCTGGAGGGCAGCGGGTGACGAGCGGGGAGAGGGTCCGCGGGGGCAGGCAGGGGTGGGAGAGGCCACTGACCTGCCCGTTCTTGCAGAGGTCTGCCCACATGCTGGTGCCGTCGCCACCGCGCATGAGGATGTGGTAGGTGAAGAAGTAGATGCCGCGCACTTGGCAGCTGAACTTGCCCGTGGTGGGATCGTAGTGATTGCCGAGATTGGTGACCACGTCGTCGAACTTGAGCACCTCATAGCCTTCGTGGGGGCTCTTGAGTCCCACGTAGAAGGCGATCTTGGGGCCGCTGAAGGCGGCGC